GGCTTATTAAATTTAAAAACATTTCCATTGAAAATGACAGCTTTAAGAAGTGAAAATATGCCTTTGGCATATTTGTTTAAATTGTTTTTACCCCACTGCGTTATAACTAAATAAGGACAATTTGATCCATGCGTTATATAACATTAATGTTCCAAACTATTTGCAGAGTTGCGTCCCTTTGGCGTACCAGCAACGTATGATCATCAGTTCGAATCTCGGTTTAGCATGATTTTGTTTCTAGGTAACACATGTTCCTGGGTTTTCCCAAAAGTGTTAATTATAACATAAATGTCTAACACCTGCTTTAATTGGGGCTTTCCTCTCACGGCGGTCGGTTAAAGCGTTCGCTCGTCACGCCGAAGACCCGGGTTCGATTACCGACATGGGTACAATGTGTGAAGCCCATTTCTGGTATCCCCCGCCGTGATATTGCTGGAATATTGCTAAAAGCGGCGTAAAACCATACTCACTCACTTTCCTCTCACACCAACAGGCTTTGACATAACTAAAATAATATTCAATGCGGCCTTAAACCAAACTGACCCGCTCACTGCAAAAGACGAATTATGAACATGTTTATAGCCCCTTTACTAACAGAGCCAGAGATCGCGAATCAATAACCTATTCCCAGACAAGCGAGAGAGGTTAGATAAGACATGGAAAGTTATTAGATGACAGCAATTTATTGAAAGACATTCCATTCCATGAGAGCAGCAGAGGTTATGGAGAAACAGTGATATCAGATAATAACGTCTCAATTATTCCCTTATGTGATTTGCCAAGTCTACAGAACTCTCCCATCCGGCGCTTGTACCCTCGTATACACAAGAACGCTCGTTTGCGTCGTGGCATGAGCCCCGATCCTTGTACCTGATTTGGCTATTCAGTAATTGGAAGGAACAAGCAACGTCAGTTTCCGGAGGTGGACATCGATATAATCAGGAACGGTGCCACGGCAATAACGTACAGACACTCTACATAAAGCATCTCCAATTGCAGGGTCGGATATTGGAAACCATTTGTGTGTTGACTTAATGATCGACTATTCTTGTTTTTATTAATCCGAGACATGAAGTGAAATATTGTAACGATAGCTTGTCGAGCCTGCTCGAGTTGTCGAGACTATACATGTTATTACGTCGGTGCAATATCACGGGAGAGTGAATAGGTGGAAATACACAGTTTGGAATGGCATTCAGTGAGGTCATTGAATTACAAAACAACGCGTCTGTCTTTTCGGAGGAGTGAGTGAGTTGGGTTTAACCACTCTTAACAGTGTTTCAGTTATATCACGGCGTGTCTGCTTATGATGGGAGGAAAAGCCGAAGTGATGAAGGTCTCAAACGCATGCGTTTACCACTTTGGTTAAACCCACGAGCACATGTATGGTGCTGACAAACCTAGAAACATGATCGGGGCGAACCGAGATTCGAACCCACAATCATAGGTTTCTGGCGTGCCCAAGGGGCGCAACTCTGCACAGCGAAGTGCGGCGCTTCAGACGACTGGGCCACCCGTGTCACCGCATTCAGAAGAGGCAATTCAGGAGTTAAACTATATCTAAGTTGGCGCAAATATATCATTTAGTGACCCAAGCTCGCTCTTATGTTCTAAACATTCATTTTCATTTATCTCACCTCGTGCATTTCCCTTTGTAGTGTAGACTGTTTCAGGAGTTAAACTATATCTAAGTTGGCGCAAACATATCATCTAGTGACCTAAGCTCGCTCTTATGTTCTATACATTCATGTTCATTTATTTCACCTCGTGCATTTCCCTTTGTAGTGTAGACTGTTTGGGGAGGTTAGTACGACCGCAGAGCTACACACATTATTCTTTCTTGAAAGCGACCAACTCATCGTGGTGTTGCGCCGGTTGGTCACAGCGACATGTTGATCCGAACTTGTCACTGAGAAGGAATTACTCGCATTCATATGATATCATGGATATCTACGACGTCTGTGTGCGGGCGTGTGTGCGCGCATAAAAGGGGGAAAATGGTGAGGTGATATTGGGTTTAACGCCACGTCCAAGATTATAGCGATGTGCATTGCACACGTGTGCGTGCGTGCGTGCGTGCGTGCGTGTGTGTGTTCGAATAGCAGTTTCCTTGTCAGAACTCAGAACAACACTCGTATCCTTCGACACCCCCACTATCACTGAAAAAATATCCATAGCAGCGTTATCTTTGAACTTGGATTTCACGTAATAAATCACCATCAAGTTACCGTTAACGTGCACATGCTTTCCGATATGGAACACACCTGCCCTCTGCCCCATTCACACTCACAGCCAGATTTAGTCATCCGACGGGTACCCGTGGATGTCATGTGATAGCAACGTGTATAACTCGTTATACATAGGATACGGGTTACACACGACAGTCCCTAATGACTTGTATCGCCTGACTGAAAATTTAAAACAATAGATCATCAAACATGACGTTTTAACCTCGACAGTAGACACGTTACACACTCCTCACGTGTACACCTACGAAGATCATAACAAGATCTAACGACTAGTATTGGACGGTTGGAGGATGAAATATATGTTATAGTGCAAATCATTTCAATACTTTTATTTAAAATAGTGCAAACCATTTCAAGACTTATTTAACAGTTAATTTATCTAAATACCTAACTGGTTCAATATGTTTCCAAGTGCACCGAAATTCTATGCCCTTTGTTTGTTTAATATATTCAGCAAACATTCGGCGTATTCCCTCTTATCATAAGCCCTTACGGGCAGGACCCTTAATCTCCACAGCTATCTATATATTTCAACTAACACCTCCTTACGTCGCCGTATCTTACGTATATACATACACGCGGGACAATGACCTTGACACACGTTACGTAATACCTCGCTCTACAAAACCCGACTGACATGGTCAGTGAGGGAGACAGCCAGAAGGTAAGTGACAGAACGGTTCTCCCAACCCGGGAACATTGGCCACTCGGTCCCGGTTTGTGTTCTGTCACGTTCTTATCAACATGTACCTTTCGACTTATTCCAAACCGTCAACAATAAACATGGCTGCTGTCGTCTTAAACTTCATCCCTGAGTTTTGTCTTCCGTCATCACCCTGAGCTACCATCCGAGGGCCGAAACGTACGCCCTTGGACATATACATGGCCTTTGTTCGTGACAGTGTTAGGTTTGAGAGGAGAAATGCGGCGCTTCTGATTGTTAGTTTTGTCGCTAATTACATACCATTTGCAATGTTGTGTTCTTGTCGTGATCGGGAAAATAATTACGAGAGCAAAAACATGCTAGTGCAACTCATTAATGCACTAATGAATGACGAACGGAAATATTGGTAACAAAATATAGGACATTAGTGTGAAATCATGATAATATGTTAAATGAAAAAATATGGCATCGACTGAAACAAATGGAAACATTTATGGCCTTGACATGTATACTCCAAAGCCATGACATATTAACTATAGTACAGTGAACTACGGTTATAACGAACTCAAAGGGACTACTAATTTTAGTTCGTTATATCCGTAGTTCGTTATAAGCATATATACAGCATAACTACAGCAGATATTCGGGGCCAAAAAAGTAAGTTCGTTATATCCGTCAGTTCGTTATAAGCGTGTTCGTTATAACCGTGGTTTACTGTAATATGAAAGAATACGGTGGTCCTTAACACTTATCGTAGTATATTAGATAGATACGCGATAAATCGCAAAGAACAATGAGGAACGAAGCGTGGTGATTTCACGACAAAGCATTGTTCTACCGTGACGTCATTTCTGGAGATTCGAATATGCGCTCGCAACTTGATGACGTCGTATATTGGACGACGTTATTTTTTAGAGGGAATTGCCTAGTGAGTTGTCAGCTCTACATGATAGTTTATTTTTCCATACTTCTTCCTAGTGGGTAGTTATTTCATTTAACACAATCTTTCTCCACTTAGTCTTCGCGGGGAATTCCCCTGTGCAAACGTAGTGAAACACATGATGAAGTAGGTTATATTTCTTGGCTGTTGAAAGCAACACTCCACATAAACTGTGTAAATTAATGTTATGCAAGAAATAGAGTGAAGTTGATGCGCAGGAAACAGTTTTACAAAATGAGAGACACGAGTTGTTGCAAAGACGCCCCAGCAGATGAAGTCTACATTTATCTATATAGCCAACCATGCTCCAAAGTCCTAGATTAGCAATAGTGGCATCAGTGGGGGAACGTTTGTCATAACCTTGTACAATCCTTGCAAAGTAACGCTGGGTGCTTACAGCTAATTCAAGATCTTTACCATGCAGAGGAGGTAGTAATTCACATCCATAAAAACTTGTTGTTAAGATCATTCTTTTCCATATCTCAATACTTGCATACTGATGTAAGTCACTACTATTTAGACCAACAGAGAGGAGAGAATTATTAGTACGCCTTGCTTTTGTGCAGCTCTCTTCAATATATCATTTGAAAGAAAGGTTATTTTGAAGAACAACACCCGTATATTTTACATTATCAAACATAGGTATGTCATAGTCCCCAAAGTGATAAGCATGCGTACACAATAATTGCTTCTTTTTATGAAACACAACAAATTTACTTTTCGATGCATTATAAGTTAATCGCCATTTGTAATTAACAACTGTATTGAACGGTCGTGGCCTATATTGTTTTGACAAAAAGTCGACATTACAAAATGGGTAATTGAGACAATACGTATACTTGATTCCATGCACGCCATGTCTGATACTGCAGTGAATGGAATAAATATCATGTCGTTCGATCCAAGTGAGATAGAACACTGATCTAAATAACCAATAATGACTCATAGTAGGGTGGATTGTGACAGGACGGTTTCATGTGCATAATATCCTGGAAACGACACGAAACAAATGGCCATGGCGCCCAGCAACCTAATAACGTAAGAGCTCGCCAATGAAGCGGAAGACAACGCAACAGCATCAGGTGGATTCAAACTATCCATCTCTAAAACCGATTTCCGCCCGGTATAATTACAGCTGGAATCCTACCTGATTGCAACAAAGGTTGGCATGAAGTGACCCCCAACGTCTTCTCCGTGTGGTACCGTGGCAAAGCGACCAGCATAACGGTCAACCCGCGACTACCGTGGTTCAGACGCCATGTTCGCTGAGTATCACATCAAGGCTGATCTTTCCCTTCTACTGCTTCACAAGTCATTAGGATACGGTAAGGGTTGCGTTACGTCAGGGACAGCGATTACACGAAGACTGAGAACTCAGACCGTTCGACTACACCATGGCAGAGGCATGTTGTACCAAAACGACAAGGCCAGACCACCCGTTGTTAGAGCGACGTAGAAGTATCAACTGAATAACGATCGCCCTACTCATAGCCCAGTTAGCATGTGTGGCATCAAACGCTGCGGAACGTTGCCAAAGTTCCAGCTTGTGGCCACCTGGACCTAGACGTAATGATGTCAGTGTATCCTTGTTGAGGTCATATTAACCCTCGTGGCTTTTTGATACAGTTAACTATGATTTGCTTGTTTGTTTGTTTGTGTGTTTGTTTGTTTTTTGTTTAACGCCGCACTCAGCAATATTCCAGCTATATGACGGCGGTCTGTAAATAATCGAGTATGGAACATACAATCCAGTGATTGACATCATGAGCATCGATCCATGCAATTGGCATACGGTGACATCCATCAACCAAGTCAGGGAGCCTGACAACCCGACCCCGTTAGTCGCCTCTTACGACAAGCATAGTCGCCTTTTACGGCAAGCATTTGGGCTGCTGGAGACCTATTCTACCCCGGATCTTCACGGGTCTCATATTTCGAACAAGGTCACATGCCTAAAGAGGCGCCACACGGAACATGCTTCGTAATGTCATACCACAGATAGTTCACCTGATTGGTTCACGTGATCGTGATAAAAAAAACTATGAATCCCGACTGGGAGGGAAATAAATTTCTTCCATACCTTCAGCGCTAATTACTGTAAGTTTTGGCTTCCATTGTGTATTGCTAATCACCTATCAGCGCCAATCATCTGTTGGCTTCCCTTGTTAGTTTCTACCCTTTGTTATTTTCCACCTTTTGTCAACTTATCATTTTGTTGTCCTTATCTGTACAATGTCATATATACGCTCTCTGCCTCATGGCATTCATTCACCCGACGAAGGAGTAAGCATATACTCCGAAACGTTGTGTTCCTCATAATAAAGAAGTTGATATCCATATATTCTCTTCCTTAATTTTGAATTTGTTTTGAATTTTGTCATGTTTTACAATCATTATGTCATATTAAAACCAGTCGGTAAAAGAAATACGTTGTGGCAGGACCTTTGTGGGTACATGTGGTTTTATCCCTCCCTCGTCATGTTTTATACCACTTGACTACGGTATGAAACCTAACTCAGGACGAATAACACCACATGAACCACGAATGACACTGCTATAATTTATATTTATGTGGGACAGGACGAAGCCCTAGAAAATCTCTTTTATCCAGCTGGATCACATCACTAATTTGTAACGATGATGCTTCAACAACATATTTATCTTTCAACGAGGCCGTAAAAAACAATAATTACATGTTTCTATAATAAACTGACTGGGACAAGGCACAGGGTGAACATAACGGAACAGACTGTGAGTCAGCCGTAAGTGTACATCACATAAGCATTTACCATATATAATAATAGCCAGTCTACAGTCTGGGCCTCTGTATGAAGCTGTCATTATGTCTTCAGGCCGTCGACGTTGACGTTGCCCTTTACGTCTGTCGCTAATGGATGATGATAGTTGATGCAAAACGAGCCATTGCATCAGTCTGAATCAACGAAGCAAAATTAAACTGGGGCCTGAGAATTGTTCGGGGTTGAGAATATTGTTGATTATTCCTTCCTCGCATCATGAGTGAGTGAGTGAGTATGGTTTTACGCCGCTTTTAGCAATATTCCAGCAATATCACGCAGGGGGACACCAGAAATGGGCTTCACACATTGTACCCATGTCGGGAATTCGGGTCTTCGGCGTGACGAGCGAACGCTTTAACCACTAGGCTACCCGGCCACCCCTCGCCCAATAAAGGAATTACGTGTTTTATAAGTGTTTTAGGCAACTTATACACTTATACATATATTTCGAAAAGGCCAGCCAGATGGAAGATGTTACGTTATAATGACAGTGAACTACCACGGGATCTTGTAAGGGTAGAAAACCGTGTTGTTTTCGGGTAAGTATATCTGGGCCTCCGGTAACCTATGCTGGTCGTAAGAGGCGACTCAATGGATCGGGTGGTCAGGCCGATGACTTGGTGGATCGCATGTCATCGTTTCCCAATTGCGGGGATCGATGCTCAGGATGTCAATCACTAGGTTGTCTGGTCCGGGGTTCCGTTGTACAAAGAGATCTTAGCGCTAAGGGGGTTGTAACTCCCATACATTATCATAGACTTACGACAGTCGTTGTTCGAAGGTTGTTTTGTACAACGCACCTTGATTCCAATTTTTAACGACTATAAAAAAATATGGCGCTTGCTGTTCTAAATGAAGACAAGTAGTGATGGTCGCTCTCTTGGGCGAGCTTTCCGATTCTAATCACGATCAATATCGGTTGGCGTTAAGAACTTATGACAACATGGTCAAGGTCAATCCTTTGGTAGCCAGTGCTGATTATGAGATGGTCGTGACAATGTTTTGATTACAGGTTTACATCGATCGATATCGATCTAGTCAAGAATCGATCAGTAGCTGTCAAACCTTTACTCGGTATACAGCGAGGGTATACTTTTGTTCGGCCCTGTAAATATTATCGCTCCTCAGCCTCTACCGTCAGGTTCGTTTTCGTTCAAGGTGAATGTGCCGCGTTAAGCAGCATGTGTGAACGAGGTACAACACGAGGTACAACAGCGGAACACCTGTGTAACGTCGTCTCTCGCTGTCAAGATAAGTGTGCAGCGGTACTGCATCCGTAACGAAAACCATAAATATAACTTATTCACTATAAAATTAGTGAGAGAGAAAGTGAGAGAGAGAATGAGAGAGTGAGTGAGAGAAAAGAGTGAGAGAGAGAGAGTGAGAGAAGGTGAGAGTGAGAGAGAAAATAGTGAGAGAGAGAGAATGAGAGAGTGAGAGTGAGAGAGAGAAAGAGAGAGTGAGAGTTAGAGAAAATAGTGAGATAGAGAGAATGAGAGAGAGAGTGAGCGAGAGAGTGAGAGAGAGTGAGAATGAGAGAGAAAAGAGTGAGAGAGAGAATGAATGAGTGAGAGAGAGAGAGAGTGAGCGAGAGAGTGAGAAAGAGAGAGTGAGAGAAAAGAGTGAGAGTGAGAGAGAAAAGTGTGAGAGAGTGAGAGAGAGAGAGAGCGAGAGAGTAAGAAAGAGAGAGTGAGAGAGAGTGAGAGTAAGAGAGAAAAGAGTGAGAGAGAGAGTGAGAGAGAGTGAGCGAGAAAGTGAGAAAGAGAGAGTGAGAGAGAGAGAAAAGAGTGATAGAGTGAGAGAGAGAGCGAGAGAGTGAGAAAGTGAGAGTGAGAGAGAAAAGAGAGAGAGTGAGAGAGAGAGAGAGTGAGCGAGAGAGTGAGAAGGAGAGAGTGAGAGTGAGAGAGAAAAGAGTGAGAGAGAGAGAGTGAGAGTGAGAGAGAAAAGAGAGAGAGAGAATGAGATAGTGAGAAAGAGAGAGAGAGAGTGAGAGAGAGTGAGCGAGAGAGTGAGAAAGAGAGAGTGAGAGAGAAATGAGTGAGAGAGTGAGAGAGAGTGAGAGAGAGAGCGAGAGAGAGTGAGAGAGAAAAGAGTGAGAGAGAGAGAGAGAGAATGAGAGAGAGAGAGAGTGAGCGAGAGAGTGATAAAGAGAGAGTGAGAGAAAAGAGTGAGAGTGAGAGAGAAAAGTGTGAGAGAGTGAGAGAGAGAGAGAGCGAGAGAGTAAGAAAGAGAGAGTGAGAGAGAGTGAGAGTAAGAGAGAAAAGAGTGAGAGAGTGAGAGAGAGTGAGCGAGAGAGTGAGAAAGAGAGAGTGAGAGTGAGAGAGAAAAGAGTGATAGAGTGAGAGAGAGAGAGCGAGAGAGTGAGAAAGAGAGAGTGAGAGTGAGAGAGAAAAGAGAGAGAGAGTGAGAGAGAGAGAGTGAGCGAGAGAGTGAGAAGGAGAGAGTGAGAGTGAGAGAGAAAAGAGTGAGAGAGAGAGAGTGAGAGTGAGAGAAAAGAGAGAGAGAGAATGAGATAGTGAGAAAGAGAGAGAGAGAGAGTGAGAGAGAGTGAGCGAGAGAGTGAGAAAGAGAGAGTGAGAGAGAAATGAGTGAGAGATTGAGAGAGAGAGAGTGAGAGAGAGAGCGAGAGAGAGCGAGAGAGAAAAGAGTGAGAGAGAGAGAGAGAGTGAGCGAGAGAGTGAGAAAGAGAGAGTGAGAGAGAGAGAGTGAGCGAGAGAGTGAGAAAGAGAGAGTGAGAGAGAAAAGAGTGAGAGAGTGAGAGAGAGAGTGAGAGAGAGAGAGCGAGAGAGTGAGAAAGAGAGAGTGAGAGTGAGAGAGAAAAGAGTGAGAGAGAGAGTGAGAGAGAGAGAGTGAGCGAGAGAGTGAGAAAGAGAGAGTGAGAGTGAGAGAGAAAAGAGTGACGTCCTTGTTCCTTATGGGGCGGTCAGGGAGCCTAGTGTTTAAAGCGTTAGCTCGTCACCCCGAAGCCCCGGGTTCGATTACCGACATGGGTACAATGTGTGAAGCCCATTTCTGGTCGCCCCGGCCCCGGCGTCATATTGCTGGAATATTGCTAAATGCGGCGTAAAACCACACTCACTCACTGTTACGTTTGTTCCAAAACAATGACAGATGGTCATTTGTGGAGTTAATATTACTTCTTGCCGTTTGTTACTCTCTCGCAAATATTTCGTTATAAACTGTAAATTTCTCATTTAACTCGTCAATCGAGACTGTTATTTAGCAAAGCGCCATTTTGGTTACTTGACCAGCGTGTATTCTTTCGCTTCCAACAGCGGTCTCCTAGTTTTCAAAAATATTTTTTGTTAAAGTTGATTTTGTATATAATTATATCTAAATGTATGATAAATAATGTTAGTGACCCTAAATATTTCTTGATACTTTTGTTTATATTTTTTAAGATTGTGCAAACACGATACTACTTCTTAAGTCGCAAATACAAAGGGTGGTGTACCGTCCCTGTGTGTTATGTAGGGAGAATTTACGTTTCAATGTTTTACATTTGTAATGAAAGAATTTAATTTTCAGGTAGACAACTACACAAAAATATGTATAATAAATACGATATTCCATGGGACGGGGGAAAGGAGATATTTTCACTCGTGGCTACGCTTG